CTCCCCTGCCCCCCGCCCCCTCCCAGGCCAGCTGGGCACAGAACCTGGCATGGCAGGGCCCTGTATGGCACAGCCAGGAACAAGCTCTCCCTCCAGGGCTGGGTCTATACCTAGGCAGCTGCTGCTGTCCTTAGTGGAGCAGCCAAGCAGGAAACTGGAGCTCCAAGTCCAGGCTCCTTCCCCCAGCTCTCCAGGATGGCCTGTAGGTTCAGCTCTCGCTGGTCTGTCCCCTCAGTCGCTATAGCAACTTGAAAGGCAAACGCAGGGGCCTTGTCCTGCTGAGCTGCAGTGGGTGCCCAACGACCCAAACACCTGGGGGCCCAGGGATTTGACTTGTGTCAAGGCCCTGCAGAAAGGCACCAAGCCCGGCTGCAGCCCAGGCTGGTCAGGCTCCCACTCCATCACCGAGGGGCTGGGCTCCTACCACTGGCCCTAGCAAACTGGGAACCCCAACCACACGCTGCCCCAGAGTCCAGCCAGCCCCCACCTCGCCGCTAGCTCCAGGCACAGCCTGAGTGCCAGGGTGAGATGGCATCTCTCTGTGCCCAGAAGAGGGAGGATGGCAGAGGGGGAAGGAGCAAGTCTGGGATGTGGGTTCAAGGCCCGACTGTGCCCTACCCTGCTCATTAGGCAGTCGCTCACTTGGGCTCAGATCCTCGAGGGACAGGGCCTTGGATGCTCAGTTCTGCTGCTGGGACAATCGGGGTTGGGGGGTGAAAGGGGGGAGCAGCTCAGAGACTGGGGGCAGGAGCCACCACCGGAGCCAGATTTTGCTTTTTCCATGGGGAGGTCACCCAGCCCTGGGGGAAGGGGCTGGACTGATGGCCGTGGTGGCACCTGCATCCCCGGGCTAGGACACCTGTTCGGATTATTCCACCGCCAGCATGGAGGTCTCAATGGCTCCCCTCAACACTGAAGGCAGCGCACAGCTCTGAGCTACTGGGACCCTCGCCCCCTCTGCTCAGGCTTGGCCAGGGACGGCCCACAGAAAGCTCCTGCATGTGCACGGAGGGAAGACCAGCCCCGGGGCCATTCCGCCACGCTAAGGCAAGTTTTGCAAAAGGAGCTCCTGGCCCCTCTGGGCTGGTGAGCCTGACGTCGGGGCCAGGCTGACTGGTAGGGACAGAACGAGCAGCCAACGTGGCTTGTCAGTGGCAACCCTGCCTCCCAGCAGTCTGCTCGAGTTCTCTGGGGGCCAACGCGTACTTGGACTTGCAGAAAGCCGTCGCAAGCTCCCTCACCAAAGGCGCGTCAGCGAGCAAAGCAGCCATGGGGGCAGAGGCACGGTCTTCTCGCAGCTCAGCAACTCGGTAGCAGGCAGGAGGTAGAATAAATGGCCAGTTTTCATAATGGAGCCAGGAACATTAGAGACGCCCCCGTGTTCTGTGCCGGGCCCAGTGCTGCTGGACACTTTGACAAGGGAGCTGGAACCAGGGCAAACGGAGCTGGCAAGGTTTGCAGATGTCACTGAACTATTCAAAAGAGCCACGGCCCAAGCAGACTCAGAAGAGCTACAAAGGGATCTCACAAAGCTGGGGACTGGGGAAGGAAATGGGAGATGAACTATACTATTGGGAAAAGGCAGGTAATGCACCGCGGAAAACAATCCCAGCTGCACGTACAAATTGATGGGGACTAAATGAGCTGTTACCACTGGAGAGAGACCTTGGAGTCAGCGTGGGGAGCGCTCTGAAAACACCCCCTTCGTGTGCAGCGGCAGCCCAAAAAGCAACCAGCACTGGGATTCTTTAGGAAAGGGACAAATAAGGAGAAAAGTTCTAGACATGGCCGGTATTCCCACACCTCGAATACTGCATCCAGGTCTGGTCACCACATCCCAAATAAGGAAAATTGGAAAAGGGCAACACACGATATGGGGCATGGCTTTTGTATGACAACAGATTACAAGCACTAGAAGCGCTCGGCTTAGAAAGAGACGAGTAAGGGGGATATAAGAGAGGTCCGATAAGATCTCGACTGACATGAAGAAAGACCAGGCCAGAGTTATTTACCCCTCCACATAAAGCCAGAGCTCACTCAACACAAATTAATAAGCAGTATGTTTATAAGAAACATTAGGAAGCATTTCTTCATATAGCATCTTGTCAACCTGTGGAACTCCTTGCCAAGGGAGAAGGCCAAACCTATGACTGGGTTGCAGCAAGAATTAGGGGCGGAATCCTGTAAAGACTGACACCAGCCTGAGTCTGAGGTGACTGCTGGGAAACTCAGGCCCTGGGGATCAGGGCAAGGCCTGGAGAGAGTTGGAGAAATGAGAGAAGACTGAACAAATGTCCTCAGAGGTGACTTCCCTTTGCCCAAATGGCCAGCGAGTCCGTGCACAGCACGGGTCAGCATTTCACTCCCGGCTCCTGGGACACCTACAGAGGAGATCCGCAGGCCTGGCTGAAGGTGTTCAGGGCACACACCAGTGTTTCCTCTAATCTTTTCCATCCCTGTGCAGAATAATTTTGATGTGCACCAAGGCATGTGTGAATGTGCATCACCAGAAGAAACACAAACTTAGCTGTAGGTGCTCTGCTAATCAGTTGGGCAGCACTGGAATTTCTCTGTGCAGCTGCACAATCTCACAACTGGAGTTCAGTGTGCAAATAAGGCAAAGTTGTTTACTTGCTCCCATAACACAAGAACTAGGGTCACCAAATGAAATGAATCGGCAGCAGGTTTAACACAAACCAAAGGAAGTTTTTCTTCGGGCAATGCACAGTCAACCTGTGGAACTCCTTGCCAGAGGATGTTGTGAAGGCCAGGACTAGAAGAGGGTTCAAAAAAGGGCTAGGAAAATTCACGGAGGACAGGTCCAGCAACAGCTAGTTCCCAGGATGGGCAGGGCTGGTGTCCCAGCCTCTGTTTGCCAGAAACTGGGAATGGGCAACAGGGGTGGGGTCACTTGATCACCTGGCCCTGGCAGGCAGGACACTGGGACGGATGGGCCTTTGGCCTGACCCAGCTGACTGCTCTGCTCCGCCCCACGCGCTGGCAGCGGATACACCGTAGCCAAGCCCTTTGAAGGAAGCTGATGGCCTGACCCGCAGTCACAGGAATTTTCCAGTCCCATCAGCGGGCTCTGGAGCGAGCGCTTGGCTTGACGCTGCACGGTGCTGAGCGAATCCGGCTCCAGTTGGCCGCAGGGGGATTAAAGGGCCTCGGCCGGACCTGGCCCTCTGCCCTTCCCCCGTCCGCTGGTAAGGGTTACCTAGAAGAGGCAGGTGGCTTTGAGTGAGCGCTGGCGCTGATCCCGCCCTGTGCTGACTGGCGGGGGGGGATGTGAAGTAGGTGTTGCTGGCAGCAGCGCTGCGGAGCACAGCCCGGACCCTGGCGGAGGGGGCTTGCTACAGCTGGCTGGGCAGCTGAGTTTGCTGGCTCCACAGGGCTAGGCCAGTGAGCCCCCAGCAAGGGAGGGTTTTGCTTGCTGCTGCCCGTGTGGCAGAGGCCTGGGAGAGAAGTGGAGGAAAAGCTGAACCTTGTCCTTACCGAAGGCAGCGTGAGGGTGCCGGCCAGCGCGACCCTGCCAGGAACGCCGCCTCCGACGAGCGGCACAGCCAGCAGCTGCAGGGCTGGCCCCGCTGCCCTGGAACCCAGCTGAAGGTCCCAGGCTGGGCCTGGCTGTCGAGCGGGAGGAGAAAACCCGGCAGAACTGTCAGGACGTGACTCGCGGTGGGGCTGCCACAGCCCAGCTGGCCCTCGCCTGCACGCAATGCCAAGCCCTTGCTGCTGGAGGCGGTGCCACCCGCGGTACGGACCCAAGCACTGGGGACGGGCCGAGAGACCAGATCAACTTGCTCTGTGAGCAGCCCCAGGGGTTTCCAGCCCCAGGGAGCCCTGTGCCAGGAGCAGCTGGTCCAAGTTCGGGGCTGGGGCAGCCGGGACCCTGTTCCCAGGCCCGGGAGGAGCAGGAAGGTGACTGGTGCTTTGCCGACATTTCCAGGCCGGTGGGACCAGGAAGGAGCTTTCAGCATCAACCGAGGCCTCGGCCTGTCAAGCTGAGTCAAAGAGGTGGCCCAGCAGGGCCAGAGGCCCGCGTCTGCAATGGAGCCCCGGCTGCGATTCAGGAAGGAGCAGAGGGGCTGGCGCTGGGGAATCCCTGCTCAGGGCTGCCATTCTGCACTCGGGGGCAGGGCGTGAGCGGAGGGATCTAGGCAGGGAGGGCTGCCTGGCACTGGGGAGAGGAGCGGGCCCCCTCTGTGTACAGAAACATGGCTGTTCTACTGCCTGCCCACCCACACCGTCCCCTGCCAGGAGCGCTGCTCTCAGCTCGCTGACAGACGTGGAGTCAGAGCTCGCCTTGATCTCCCGGGTGTGCATCCCACCCCAAGGCAGAGGCAGTCGGGGGGGTGCCCCCAGTCTCGGTGCGACGGCAGCTCCGTCGGCCTGCTCAGCCCTGGAAAACCCCTCTTGCCCCTGCAGCCTGCACCTCCCGGACAGAGGCTACCACGGCAGGGCCCACGGGGCCGTAACCCGGCCCTGGAGCAGGGATGCTGCAGCGGGGGGCTAGTGCCACCAGGACCGGACCCCTGCCAGGTCTCCGGGTGCCCCTACCTAGGATCAGTCTGGGCACACCCCTCCCAGACCTCGCCACACTGAAGGGTGCAGAGGGCAGCAGCCAGCATGGGGTCTCCCCCAAGGAGCAGCAGACGCCAGGCAGGGACTCTGCCAGCACACTTTTATTTCCACCACGGGCGCTCAGACCGGTACAAATCTGCTGGGACCGCAGCCCCCGGCTGCCAGGGGGTGCCAGGCCACAGAAGGGCGACACGGTGCGGTAGCCACAGGGAGCGGAGGCCAGTGCACGTGGGAGGCCGAGGAGCCCACCGAGAGGGACGCCGACCTGGCGAGCGACGGGGGAGGCGATGCCAATCCAGTCCCAGGCCCACAGGCCCATGCCTGCGGGAGGCTGGAGGTAGCGGAAAGTGCTTCTTCCCTCTGGCCTCAGCTGACTGCCAGGGAGGCCTTAGTGAGTCTCCAAGGGTGGGGCAGCGGCTTTGCTGGTCCCTCGAGCCCCCACTCTGGAGCTGAGCAGGGGATGCTGGGCTCCGGCAGTGTCTGGAAACCCTTCCTCCGCTAAGCGCCGCGACCACCCTCCACCTCTGCCCCAACGGACCCGCCGCTTCCCGCCAGCTCCCCCCGCTCACGGGCTCAGAGCACGACCCTTCGGTCTGGGGGCTCCCCCCGGCCGGCTCGCTGGTGCCTCACTTCCAGGTGCTTGTTCTGGACGCGCTCAAAGTGCTGCAGCAGCTCCAGGTAGTCGATGTTGGCAGCCGTCGCTTTCTTGAAGCCCAGCGTGCTCTTGGTGCTGTCCCTGGGGGGAGGGAGCAGAGTGAGAGGAGAGGCCAGGGCACCTGCCACGCACCCGGTGCCATTTCCACCCCCGCAGCGCTGCTCGTGGGACGCTGGCCCCAGGCCACGGCAGGGGGCCCGCCCGGGCAGCAGGGCAGCGGCAGGACAAGGACGGCGGCACAGCCTGCGCTAGGAGCAGGCCCAGGCCGAGGGTCTGGGTCTCACAGCAGTGACACGGCTGCCCTTCCCCCACGTTTCTAACCCACGCCCTGGTGCACAGCTCCGAGCGCCAGCCTGGTGTGGGGCTGAGCCATGGGCCTGGGAGAGCTGGCTCAGTGCGACAAGACAGGCCTGCACACAAGGCTGCTGGCGCGGCGGGCGCCGGGGGCCGGACGCGCCTAGAGCCGGGGAGGGGCTGGTGCCTTCCTGCAGCCGCTCCAGCCTGGGGGCAGGATGCCAGGTGTCCCCAGGACAGCCTGCTGCAGGCCTGCCCAGAGGGGCTGCCCAATGACCAGCCTGCCAGGGGTCCTGCGCCCCAGCACCGCCCTGCCTGAGCCCACCTGCAGCCCCCACGGACCGGAAGGGCCAGAGCCCGGTGGGAGCACAGGGGCAGCAGCAGAGGCCTGGGGGGCCCTAGCACAGGGTTCTCGAGCCCCACCCCCAAAGAGACGTGACACTCGCAGCGGGAGGGCTCCTGCCCCGTGCGGCCGGCTACTCGGGGCCCTCCAGCTTGTGACAACCAGGCGGGGGCCTGGCCAGCTGCTGGTCCAGTCCCAGGTTCTGCGGAGCCCTCGAGCCCTGCGGCACTGCCTGCGGGAGGCTGTCCTGGCGCAGCGGGCACAGCGCCTGGGACGGGCTGCCCGAGCGGGGCGCTGCTGCTGCGAGGAAGCAGAGCTCTCAGCCGGGCTGCTGCCTCGGGTCCTCTCAAAGCCAGCCCATCTGGCCACCGCCCGCCCGCGCCGCTGGGCCCTTCGCTCCATCCGACCGCACTCCCCTTCCTCTCCCTGCCTCCTACGCCCCGTGCAGGCTGCACCGTCTGCTCGCCCACCCCGGCTCCCACCCCATGGGCTCCGGCCCAACGCCAACCGCCCTCAAGCGCTGGGGTGGTGTCCGGCTCCTGGAGAGGCTCTGCCACAGCCCCCCACAAATCCCCATGTGGCGGGGGGGTGCAAGGCGAGGCGCCAGACGCACATGTGGAAACACCCGGCTTGGAGCCAGACGTGCTGCCTGGGACGCGGCCCCGGCCCAGATACAGCCAGTGGCGTGGAGAGCACACGAGCAGCGAGCCGGGGGAGAGAGCAGGAGGGGGGACGGTCTGCCCGGGCCCACGCAGGAGAGAACACGCTGCTGAGGGGAGGAGGGAAGGCAGCTGTTTGGTAGGAGCCATGGGCTGGGCTCAGCCACCCCCGAGGGGAGATCCCAGCCCCGTGCCAGGTGTGAGCACGGTCACTTCCCTCGGCTACTCGCGGGCACGGCCAAGGGCGAGCCGGGGGAGAGAGCAGGAGGGGGGACGGTCTGCCCGGGCCCACGCAGGAGAGAACACGCTGCTGAGGGGAGGAGGGAAGGCAGCTGTTTGGTAGGAGCCATGGGCTGGGCTCAGCCACCCCCGAGGGGAGATCCCAGCCCCGTGCCAGGTGTGAGCACGGTCACTTCCCTCGGCTACTCGCGGGCACGGCCAAGGGGTCACACCCGCAGTTCAAGCAGCTCCAGGGCTCTATGTCCCACGGGCACGAGGGCCAGGGATCGCCCGCTGGCTTCGTGGCACCAGGCGTCAAGGCTGGCAGAACGAGCTCGCCCAGGTGGGTGCTTGGGAAATGGGGAGCCCAAAAGCACAAACGGGTGCTGAGTGACCTGCGCCATTCTCCTGCTCCACTCCATGCTGGTCAGGCCTCGGCTGGAGTCGTGTCCAGTTCTGGGCACCGCAGTGCTGGAGAGACGTCGCCACACTGGAGAAAGTCCAGAGAAGGGCAACACAAAACTGAAGGTCTAAAAACACCATGGCCCGCGAGGGAAGACGGAAGGAACTGGGCCGGGTTAGTCTGGCAAGGAGAAGACGGGACAGGAGAGCGCTTTCCAAATAGCTGAAAGGGTGTCACGGGGGAGGGGGAATTGCTCCCCTTGGCTCTGCAGACAGGACAAGCAGCAACGGGACTGAGCTGCAGCCGGGGAGGTTGAGGTTGGACGTTGGCACGGGGGGAAGTTGCTGAGGGAGACTGTGGATGAAGAGCGGGTTGGACACAGTGTCAGGGATGGTCTGGTGCTTGGTCCTGCCGTGAGGGCAGGAGACAGGACTAGAAGGCCTCACAAGGCCCCTTCCAGGCCTAGGCAGAGGCTGCCCTGGTTTTGGAGGGGGGAACCTCTCCCCCGAGGGAAGGGGAGTCACAGAGGTGGAAGGCTAGGCCGGGGAAGAGCATGCGCGCTCCCACAGCGGAACGGGGACAGCGCCGGCTGCATGCTGCCTCGGGCACTGTGCGCGGGAAGCTGTACTCGCAGGCTTGGCCAGCTCATAAAGAGCATTTGTCTCCTTGAGATTAACTGGAATTAGGAGCCAGGCGGCTTGCGGGCCGGGTGCATGGCTGCCCGAGGCTTCCCCTGGCCTGGACACGTCGCGAGGGAGGCCAATCCGGGAACCCGGCCGCCCCATCCACACACAGCGTGAGGAGCCGGGCTGACGGGTTTGCGGAGCTCTGAGGAGCTCAGGCCCCGCCCGGAAGGATTAACCCTTCAGGCCCGTTCCCAGCGCTCAGACAGGCAGAGCTGAACGGCAGTTTCTCCAGCTGAATCAGATGCTGCTTGAGGAGCCTCCTTCCTGTTTCCAGGCCGGGGCCTTTCCGCTGCGCTCTCCGGGCCTGCGCAGGGGCTGGGGAGCAGCGGCCCGGGTTCCCAGGAGGGAACAGACTCTGCTATTGTGCCTGGCCAGGGGCTCACACCGGGTTCAGAGCCAGGCTTGCTGAGCCAAGGCCCAGTCTGTCAAGCAGCGCCACAGCCAGCTCGGAGCCCTCCGGCCATGGCGCATCTCACAGCCCTGGAGAATGCTGGGTGCCCGGCACAAGGCCCGGCCTCCGGAAGCTCTGAGCGAAGGGCACGCTGAGCACCTGGGGCCCCTCAGCAGGCAGGCCGAGATGGAGGCCCGCAGCCGTGAGGGCCACGCCGGGGCAGTGCTCCAGGTGGTGGGGGTGGCCTACGGGAGCGCAGCCCCGTTTCACACCGACCCAGCCCCCCGAGTAGGGTGGCCACGGGGCAGCTGCTTTAAATGCTGGGAGCCAGCTGGGGTGGGCAAGCTGCTGGCTTGCTCTTTCTGGCGCCAGTGGCAGCGGAAAACACAGGAACGACAAGAGGCAGGGTGGGCTAAATGGCAGGACTCTGGCTGAGCCGGTCGAATTCCAGCTGTACCATTGGCCTGCGGCGTGACCGAGAGGGAGGCCCAGCTTGGTGCCTCAGTTGCTGCTTTAAATGCTGGGAGCCAGCTGGGGTGGGCAAGCTGCTGGCTTGCTCTTTCTGGCGCCAGTGGCAGCGGAAAACACAGGAACGACAAGAGGCAGGGTGGGCTAAATGGCAGGACTCTGGCTGAGCCGGTCGAATTCCAGCTGTACCATTGGCCTGCGGCGTGACCGAGAGGGAGGCCCAGCTTGGTGCCTCAGTTCCCCCGCCGGCCTTTGCCGACTAACACCAGGTGGGGGCAGGGACAGCCCCTCTCTGTGCCTAGCGCAGTGGGTGCGTAATTGCAGGAGACAAGCGCAGACGTGCCTCTCCTGTGCCGACCCCCTCCTGGATTAAGAGATTAACCCAGGGGTTAGCGCTGGTCAGACGGGGAGCCCAGGCAAGGCGGCAATGGTGCAGACAAAGGAGGGGAGGCACCCTGATGGGGCCCCCGGACAGCTCTGTGCAGCCAGGGGGTTAATCCCTTTCCCCCAGGGCTTGCTACAGCCCCAGCTGGCTTCCCCTGGGAGGGGCCGGCTTCCCCGTCTCATGGAATGTAGGTCAGTTAGCCAGAGGTGCAGGCTGACAGCTCAGAGCTCCACAAAGACAGCAGAGGACTCCTCCCCCGCGAATGCGCGCACACACACGCACACGCACGCGCACACGCACGCACACACACACACGCACGCACACACACACACGCGCACACACACACCCACACGCG